CCCCTAATATTAAAACCAAACCGCCGAAATCCAGTTTTAATATTACGGAGGGGGGGGGCCCTTTAATAATAGGGGGAAGAGATTATACAAGCAAGCATTAGGTGCCGAATGGAAGCAAGACAAAGACAATACCAGGCGATATTTTTTTCTCCGGCAGCTGCTTGGGAGAATGTCTGCTCGTCCTCTGCTCTCAAATCTCTTTGCTTTTTCAAGTCATCTTGCGCTATCTGCACAAACCCCATACCCAGGACACCCACATGGGCTAATCATGCGCATCCGTGGTAAGCGTCTGCACAAAGGTTGGAACACGACTTATGAAACAAGCCTTGGCAGCCACTAAAAGTATCCCGCGGGTTCTCCGCCTAAACTTTCGTTTCAACGCCCAAACCTGGGCACCCCCCCCGCCCCCCCGCACGTGGGTCATTTATGTAGGATTTCGGGCCTAGGCTTTATATGGTTGGGTTTATATGGTTTAGGGTCTACCCATAGGCCCCACAGGATTCTAAATATGAGCCCCAAAAAGGAACTACTCTGGGGCCTATGGGTGCAGGTAACTTGACGGAGCTAGAAAATCAAAGAGGGCCGAAGGTTTCCATGTCAAGGCTACCTATTTTTAGGGTTTAGGGTTTAGGGTTTAGGGTTTAGGGATTTGTGTTGAGTAAGTACGGTTGATGATATAAATCCTGCATTACCCATAATGAGGAATATGCCATAGTTCCCATAGTTTAGGGTCCTTAAGGTAATGCAGGGTTTAAACCATCAACAGTATCACTCCCCATACAGGTTGTGCAAAGGTACTTTTTGCATTTTGGGAAATGCAGCCTCCTCCCATTCGCAAAACAACAGGAGGGCTTGGAGTGAACGATCTCTTTACATGAATCCTTAAAACAAAATAGGCGATACGGAGATATGGGGTTCAGGGAGAATCAAAGCACATATGGCGAGCTCAGGTCCCGGGCTGCTTCTCGAACCTCCAGCAGCGCGGTGAGCACGAATTAATGTGGGTTTTTGGGCTATAATGGGGTCGAGGGATATATAATTAGGGCTGGGTGTTTTGGTGTTACGATTTGTGTCATGTTCGCATAAGTGTAAGAGAATGTATGTGCCTGTAGCCCGGGATCCTTACAATAAGGATTCTGCTTCTGTTGATTACGGCAAAGAACCTTGGTTTCCGAGACTCTCATGTGTACAGCTTCTCACACACAAGCACTGGTATCAACAACGCTGACCGACACGAAGAGCGATGTTGCTTATTGTGCTGGTGCTGGCAGCACAGAAACAAGACCTGGACGTAGTCCTCTCGAAAGCTGCTGTCCTCCATGTCGGCCCGGCGGCTAAGAATATCTTTGCTTGGAGTTGAAGCTCCGGGTAAAATAGAGGTCTAAATAACTACCAATTCTATTCTTGGGGTTCCTGATTTATCTTGACTAGTCGCGGGTGGTCGGCTGCACTGCCGAGCACGTGCAGGTACCGTCTTTGCAGGCGCGGGAGGAAGGTGAGGCCGTTAGGCTGTCGGTGGAAGCTGTCATGATCGAAAGCCCTTCACTTCCAAGCGGGCCACCAGTCGAGTGGACAGCTCACCCTCTCTCGGCGGCATCTACTTCGTTTGCGCAGTACGTCCACGCAGAGAGTTCGAAGAACGCAATGTTTGCGAAATGTGTATGAATTCGAGGCACCGACACTCGTACTGGTGTGTGTGTTCCAGCGAACCTTTCTCTCCCACTGACGAACTCTTTACGCCCCGACCCCTGCTCTAAACAATTTTCATGCCTCACCCAGTAGCCGCTGAGCACTCGGCACAGCTGATGATGCCGCTAGCCTGCACACACACACACACACACTGCCGGGCTCGACAGCAGCCGGAAAATGCATATTTCCGGAAACTTGCCCATGTTGGAGTAGGGATGCTAACAAACATAGGATATAGTCTCAACATAGCAAGAATACACCAGAGTAACAATCATGCGCATAGCATTGCAAAGGACTCGACTAGAGCCGCCCGAATAACAACCATAAGTAATGTAGGGGCCTGAATAATTAGAATAGGTTTTTCGGGTATATTATATTGTAATTTGTAATAAGGAACCCCAACATAGTATAGGTAAGTATTTAAACTTATGCCCCTGTATTAGTGCTACTCTGCTACTCCTAAGAACTGCGTCGGGTAAGCCGCTCTCACGGATGTCTCATCCTAAGCCGGAAACAGTTCGAACAGATCTAGATCCTTACAAAAATCTTGACTTAACTTCAACCGCAAAAGCCGTCTGAACATATGGTCCTTGACTAGACAAAACTGAAGCCGTAAATACCGTCTGGACATTTCTAAACCCCTTACAAGAATCCTTAAAACAGACTCTCTTAACAGACAAACCCACGGAGCCGGAAACTCCCAGCTGCACATCCCTCTCACCCCAAGCCGAACTCTGCGAACTTCTCTCGAAGCCGGGACTGCAAGGGTTCCGAAGGAACGGGACATGGCTTTGTCTAGCTTCAAGCAGGGCTTCCGCTGTAAACAATGCTCGGCAACGCACACCTGCCCTGCCATGATCCGACTCTTCACAACATCTGCAGGGGTTGCGCACACTGACCTCGGCTCGAGGGCAACGAGAAAGTGTTCGTATCTGGCGGCCTTTGATCGAAGACATAGGGCTGCAGGGTTTGGGGGGTTAGTATGGCTTTTCTCACTATTGCTTGGTGCGCGTAGCAAAGCGCACGCTTCCGTTCAAGCCGGTTTCTTAGAAGAGATCACTGGGATGCTAGCCACTTCCATGCATTCGAATGTACAAGCCCGAAACAGGCACCGTAGTTCAGAGTTCGCTTAAAAACTCGCTGCCACTTGACAGTAGATTGGCGTGTTGTTCGCGTGCCGCGTCTCTTCAAAACCCTCTCAAGATATCTGCCTTTACACAAACAATAATAGATCGTCATAGAACATGGCATGGCATGCACAATTCTAAGCACTAAATGCTAACTCGTAATCTCGTGAATGCTTTCCGCTCGAACCTTCGACATATAAAGCGCATGCAGTTGAACCCAAGCCCAAATGCTACCCGACCGCGCACCAACCACCAGCAAAAGCTTCGATTTTTGACGATTCCTATCACGGAAACTTTGAGCTACTCAGAACAAGCACACAAAACCGTAGTATGATGTTGTAGGTAAGCCTTGGGCGTGTCCTGAGAGGCATCTTTTTAATGATTCTGGACTCTGGACCCTGCCTGCAGCCCCCAGTGCCATCGAATTCCAAGAGTAGACAGTCGATAAGGCCCTACCCTAAACGCACTCTACATAAGCCCCAGTATAGGATTTTTGAACTTATGACCCCCAAACCCATCTAACCCTAAACCCTAAACCCTAAACCCTAAACCCTAAACCCAAACCCATCTGAACCCTCGTCATCCAGGCATCTGACGCGACAAAGCCCGAGCAAAAGGCGCCCAAGGTGTGCACGATGACACCTTCGGCTTGTTTAGGGGTTTAGGGTTTCGGGGTTTGTGGGTTTAGGGATTTAAGGTTTAGGGGTCTAGGGTTGAGGGGTTTAGAGTTTAGGGTTTCGGGGTTTAGGGTTCGCCCGCGCAGCGGCGTCCAGGACAAGTCTTAGATGATCATCTAGGGTCGCGTGTTCGCCGTCTTGATTGCCAGCCGTCTCCTTGGTCTGGCCTACTGTTGATGATATAAGTCCTGCATTACCTTAAGGACCCTAACCCACGGGAATTATGGTATATTCCTTATTGAGGGAATTATGGTATATTCCTTATTACGGGTAATGTAGGGTTTATATCATCAACCGTAGTATATCCTGGAAGCCGCGGTTAAGGTTTGGACCCTCGCGACTAGAAGGATGCAGGCGAGAGTTAGAGTTTCGGCTTTAGGGTTTGGTTCGTGGCCACCAGCTCACTACTGTAGAACTCATATCAAATCCCAACGGAGACGGGAGCAGCAATACCGAATCCTTTCCCTGAGTAATCCTCTGCGGCTGGTCGGCTAGACAATCTTTTGCCGTAGCCATGTGCCGCATCTTTTTCCGGATGATCTCTGCAAGCAACCCTGACCACATTCAACGAGTATTCGAGAACGAAATGCCCAATGGCAAACAACAATTAAAACACCCTCTAAAACCCTGTTACATCAGGCTTGCATAGCCAAGCGCAAACCATCTAAAACCCCAAACCCTAAATCCTTCAATCCAGCAACCCTAAGCCCCCAAAACCATAAAAAGCATGTTCCACACAGCCCGTCGCCATGATGCAGACCTGCCACCGCCGAAAACCAGAAAGAATCGTCGACCCGAGTCTGAGTTCCTACACAGGTGGAACTCGGACAAGATTCCGGTAATGTCGGGGACTTTATAATTAGAATAGGTCTTTGGGGATATACTATATTCTACTTACAAATAAGGAACCCCCAAAAACAGTGTAGGCTATATTCTTGAGCCTGACACCCCGAACCCCAAGATGGGAAAGACCTGCTGAATCGCGAAACCGATGAACCTTCTGGTCTCACCCATGGAAGTCTACATTCTACAAGTGCCGGACCCAATCCCGGCAGGGAACATGGGACATCAAAGAGCCGCACCGTCCGGTAGGCCACTTCGTTGAAGGACGAAGCTTTTAGCTTGGTCGTATGTCGACAGCCTCAGACATGCAGGGGCACTCTTAATACCTCGCACGGAGTTTCCTGCCGGGCTGAGAAACCCCCAATTGGTGATCAGGTTCGGGGAAGTGGGCATCTCCCTAAATTTTGATCCCTGCCACAACCTTGCCGTTGCTTCCCTTGACACCATGTCCGCTGTCAAAACTATCAATTCTGCGCAATGCGACTTCAAAGATCAATATCTTCAACACGAACATCCCTGCATCGGGACATATTCTGAATTCTTCCGGTAGGCATGCGTGGACACGGAAATGGCCAGAAGACTTCAACCCCAAGTCACAAGTTGCAACACTGAATGCAGATACATGCCTGCGTACTTGGTCAACAACACTTGGCCACCGAACTCGCCGAGATTGACCAAAGCAGCTCTTTGCACGTTCGGCAACACGCCACGGTAAAGGCCCTGATCGCGCAAGGGTAGCTTGGCTCGCCATGCACTGGAACAACGGACAACATGAAACGTTTTGCATGCAAACGGTCTTTGCAGGCAGTTCTGCCCTCGTACAAACATAACGCACAAAATGCGACGCTCATTTCAAGAAGGTTGGAGCTTGGCGATATCATCACTATACACTTGATCCAACAGAAAGCAGCTGTGAACACATTGCTATGTCAAACCACACATCAACATGATTGGGAAACTGTCGACACGTGCCTTGAAACCTTCCTCCCGCAAGATGCGACGGAAAACCGTGACCTGAACGTTCAGTCATGATCCGAACAAACGACCAGCTGCCAAGCTGATGCGCGACGTGTGCGTAGCAATTGGGCTGCCGCCATTCCCTGTTGGCGTCCCTCTTGGACGAGAACGACCTGCCGACGGTGCTGCTGTTCCCGACAGCTGCCCTTACACACGATGGTTCAAACCATAACGCAATTGAGTCTACCGCGCTCAACATGCATTAACTGCGCGTGTTGACATAGTCTCCCGATCCGAAACGCATCAAGTGCAGAGTATTCAACACGACTCTTAGCGCGCTTGTTTTTCGCACCCCAAGCCTTGAGCCGATCCGCCGGGGAAGCGAAAACCTCGAAGCAAGGGAGGATTCACGAGTGATCTGACTCAGCATGTCTTACCCACTTCTATCATTGTGAGTATGCGTATGTGTATATATATATATATATCTCACGTACATGCATGTAGTTAGTAGTTGTTGGCGGGAAAGATTTTGTGCTTATCTATATGTATGCATGCTAAGCTGGGGTAAGAACTGGTGCAACGACCCTTCTCAAAATTGACAGGCAACGTAGAGCCCAAGGACTTATATCAAACCATACGACAGAATCTATGAAGATCGTCTTCGCGATCATAAGACTGAACCACCACACATGACCAGTCTAACGAATATCTGCATCTGTTCACCCCGCGCGCATCTGACGTTCACACACACAAATATGTGTATATATACATATGCATATGTGCGCTGATCTGATATACTGGGTCTAAAAAAATCACACACACACACACATAAATGTTCATATATATATATATATGTGTGTGTGTACATGTCTATATTCAAATATAAAATAAAAATAAATATACAAAACATAAATATAAAAATAAAATTGTATATTTGCACATGTTCCGGCTTTCTTTATTTATGTATGCACTTAGAGCTATGATTATTATTGTTACTGTAGTGTGATTGTTTTCCTTATTGTTATGACAGACTTTTTGTTATCATCTAGGTTATAAACTTGTGTATACATCATCTACAAGTAATTGTGTTTTCGTTGAAGCCATGTTTCTATTTACCGACATTGTTAATACCGTACTCCATTCAGTCGAGGGAAACACATATCCAATGCCCCACCTGCGCCAGACCACCAGCCGCCAATCCGGCAACTGCTTTGGCCGTTGAGCCTAGACAGAAACATCAACACAAAACACAACTGCAACACCCTTGCGAACACCGCCAACAACAGTTGGGCCGCGGACTGTTGGTCTGTGGAAAATTCGAAGCAAATCCCGCACGCATGTCCTGTGATGCTGCGTCTTAGCTGAAGCGATACCCACACATGTGCTGACCTCGTAGAACGAAATGCGCAAAGAGGAATAAACGATGTGGCGAAGAACCGCCGGCCTTACTGGAACAGTTCATCTGCCGCTCACCGCCAAGACTCGACACAGGGCACATACTTCCTTGTTTTCCCTCCGGGATGCTGACGGCAAGCCGGCATACACGGCTCCTCGGATGGGGGTCCGGGGTTTCTGGGATTCCTAAGGTTGGCAGTGGTTTGGGTGCCCTTGGTAAAGTTGGCCTAGGCCCCTGGTCTTCTGGTCTTCTGGTCCTTGCCGAGAATAGCTTCATGCAGAACAAGAGCAAATGCTGTACTATAGTATTTGCATCTTGGTTGGGTCGGCCTAGGTTTCTGGTGCCCTTGGTTGTCTGCTCCTCTGGTCCTGGTTTGTCCGTCTCCGTGTGGGCGTGTGCGCATGGTATGTCTCTGCATGTGTCTGTCTGTGTGTGTGTGTTGTGTGTGAGTGTTTGCGAACAGCCTTAAACCTTGCTACTGCATACAAGGATGACGGGGTTCAAATTTCGCACAAGTTTGACAAGACCATGGATTTGGAATTTCCCGGTAGCTAGACTCGACGCAAAACTTGACGTCAGACAAAAACCTGTCCCGAATAGCTTAGGGCATGCAAAACAGGACCCTGCAAGTAGGAATTCCCCAACAACTTGACGAAACACAAAACCCCACAAATTGTATCTCTCCAAAATCCTGACACGAGACAAGAGCCTCGGAATTGCAAGCTCCCAATAGCTTGGATCAAAACAAAACCAAGGAAATTTGAATTCCCCCATGGTTGATTGCAAAGCAAAGCCCTGCATTTCGTAAAATCCCCGAATAGCTTGGGGCAAAGCAATACCCTGCAAGTTGGAGCTCCCCAATATTTTGGCACAAAGCAAAACCCTGCAGATTGTAATTCCCGAATAGCTGCGGTACAGCAAGATCCTGCAAATTGTAATTCCCAGATAGCTTGACCCCCCACTAGCTTGGGGCAAAGCAATAACTTGCAAGTTGGAACTCCCCAATAGCTTGACGCAGCGCACGAACCAGCAAAATCGCAATTCCCAAATAACTTGAAGCACAGCAAAACCTTACAAATTGTAATTCACCGATAGCTTGGCCCAACACGGGAGACCCGAAATTGCACTTCCTCAATAATAGATTGGGGCAAAACGAAACCCTGTAGTTGCATGTCCCCACGAGCTTGACACAATACAGGAGCCTCAATAGCTTGACGCAATACAGAAGCAAATGCAGCGATTTACGATATTTGTCGCCAAAACCGGGGCCAACGTTAAGACACCAGACTGAGACCGCCAGCATTAGGAATCCAAGCCAACCCCTCCGCACCTTGGATGGGCATGCGCCGCTGAATTCCCAGTTGAAATTTTCTGGATCTGCCAATCTTTGGCAATAAATGCTCGCACAGAGCCGCGTTGCGGCAGCACCGCCGCAATCGCGAGGCCGCGCAGACATGCAATAGCAAGCATCGAAACACAGTTTGCGTCGTCGTCGGTGTCGATAACTACGGCACTGCCTGACGTTTCTCCCGCACCTGCTAGCAATTACCGCCATCCGGTCCATTGTGCCATATTGTATCCATCTTAGCACACGCCCTAAATGCTCGCTTGTCCAATGCGCGGTTTTTTCGAAATCTGACGAGAAGGACAACTCTGCTGGTACCTGGCTGGTACTGCGTGTGTCAACCCAGCACGAGCGCATGTCGTCGCGCCAACCAACCGCGTACTGTGCAGCCTGGTGACACGCTTTTTCGCACAATAACGACGATGCAACACGAATAAGTTGTTGCATCTGTTCTGTACCGCCAACCGGTCATGCCTGTTCAGTAGCAAGCTGCGGGTGCCCAAATCGCACGATTGACTATCCAATTCGTTTTTCGTGGACATCTTGACTGTCTTGTGACTGTTGGCTGCCAGGTGGCCGATGCCTTCATGACGAATGGCTTTGGCCTACACGCACAAGTCGCCAGCTCGAAACACATGTGCTGTGCGCGGAACCAAAATAGAATTTCACCAAAGATAAGCATGCCGGCCAGTCCAAGGCATCAATGAACGTCTGCCTGGCATCAGGCGAGCAACACCCAACACACACACACACACACACACACGAACGAACGAACACAGCTCCAACGGCGGGGTTAGACCTAGAGGGCCCGTGTTTGGTTGCCTTGCGAACCCGAGAAGGCATTGCCTGCTTGTGTTTTGTTTTCAATCCTGCAGCCGGGGAAAACTGTAGCAAAGTGGCTCCCCAAACTTCACAACACATGTCGGTTACGAACGACCAACACATATCACGGCAACGGACCTGCTAGATGCCAGTGCAACAATTTTAGTACATTTTTTCACACGCCTACTCTAAGCCCTCTCTAAGCCCAGGCTACAATCGTAATCCATGGGACAACGGCTTGGAGCTGCAACACAACCGATCAATCAGACGCGCCTCCCAACTTTAAGCTGCATGCGGGTCTTGGCAAAGTCGATCGGAAATGTTAACGATTCAGCAGCTGCTGCCGACCTGACACGTGACTTCAACGAGTTTGCAGGCACGTGCTGACGACTGCTCTGGGGCACCCGCGCGGCCACAAGGCCCAGGCGGGTACTCCGCGGCATGACACAAGCATCCTTCGGCGGATGCTTGTGGTTCAGAGATGTTGAGCGGTACGTTTCATAGTCGCACATAGCCAAGCCCTGACAACGCACATATAATACGTTGTTGCTGGTACTGTGAGTGCGAAGAAATCATTTATCGTCATTCGTCCCGGCCCGAACCTGGGCAGGCGCCGGCATGGCAACATGTCGGATCGCGGATCAATCGGTCAGTGTTGTCAAATGTGTGTTGCTACATAAACGTGGCGGCATAGGTGCAACATGACATGTCATTTCCGTCCTGCAAATTATGCATGCATTCTGTCACAATCGCATGAAAAGTTGCGGCCTAGAGCGCCAACCATCGTCAAGGAAATGGTGGCCGTCCAACGGCAAAGGGGAGGCCTTTCACGACACCCTCAATGCGCCGCTCGATGGAGAAGGGCACATGGGGGTTCATGTCTGCGAGCCCCTTGCGACGGCATGCTCCAGAGACAGCGCGCGCGCGCGCGCGTGGCAGGTAGCACTCGCAAGCGCCGAAGCAAAAATAACTCCGGAATGTCCGCGAAGCGGGAGTGCATGAGGTATGATGACTTTAGCATATTTTGCATTATGCATCTCGTGTGCGCGCTTGTCGCACGGGCAGCTGCAGGCGCTTGAACGGCCACATGTCGCAGGGCGTCGCGCTGAAACATATACAGGGCTGCCATGTCCGGCGCCTCCACCCCCGTTGGCGCGTGGTGTGGCCAAACTTGGGTTGACCTCCAATGGCACTAGAATACTCAACGGCTACACCACCAAAACGAATGCAACGACTCCGCCGGATGCGATGGCAAGCTTGAAGCAGCACGAGTCCTGAAACAACCGTCCAGCGGTTAGTAACTAAGAACTAAGAGTGTGAAACTCAGAGCTCAGAGGCAAGGCCAGAATATATACACAAAACAGCTTCTTTTTCGCCATATGCTACTACGGGGCTCCAACACGAAGGCCGAGCGATTCACGTGCCGGAACGATGGTGTGTTCAGTCCGGAACCGCAACCCGAACAGTACACCTACTGCAACTCACCTCCCATACCTGTCGACCCTTCCTCCACATTAATGGACATGTGCTTTCACAGCCGATCCGCACCTTTCGTCAGGACCATTGAAGCATGGCCCCTGCGCAAGGATGACACGCACTCATGTGGCTCAAGCATGATGCGCAAATCGAGAAATGCACCAAAGTCTCGGCAAGTGTTTTTGCATTCCGAGTTAAGGGAAGGGATGGGGGTTCCCCGGGGTACTCGGTCCTTTGTCCCGGACCCTTTCAGGGTTGTTGGGGGCCTGGTGAGTTGTGTGGTGTTCATGGTGACATGGAGTATAGTTCTCTAGGTGATGTTTCGCATAGTGTAAGGATGAATCTGCAGCAGCAACAACAACAACAGCACCATCAGATTGTCACCGGCCTTCAGCATCATCACTGACAGCAGCCCTCAACAAACACAGGTGATGAGCCCAAATGCTCCACCGCAGTGCAGTTCTGCAGCGAGTGCATGCTTCAGTGGCACCACAGCTTGTGCACTTCGACGAACCATCGTCAGAAAATGTGGTGCGTGTGAGGATGCTGCAGATGTTGCACATTCAGGCGCCGGCCGAAATTCTGAGATTGTTTCAATCATCAGCTGCCGTGGTGGCCTTTGCAAAGACCATGAAGGACGTGCAGGACAATGTTCGTTTGGTGGCTCAGGAGCTTGAGGCAAGAAATGAACGGTCGGCTTCGTGCCTGTCTGGAAATACAGGGGACCTAGATGGGGAAAAAAAACCATCAATCAGAGAGACTGCTCAATGCTGCAAGTGATGATCATGTTGCCTTGAACAACGCCAATGGCAAATTCAAGGAGCTGAAGGAACAGATCCAGCAGACAGAGAGTGCGGTTACCCACATGTCGAGGCGTCAGGTCACCTTCGAGACTACGATGGAGACTCGGTCTAGTGCCCTTGAGACACAGACCATACAGGCCACTTCAGCGGACGCATTGAGAGATGCAGATCAAGAGTGAAGAGAGTGAGACCCGCATTCAGCGTAGAATTTATGAGACGGATGTTTTGTTGAAGCATTTCTTCGAACGTGGGAAGCTTAGACAGCAGTCGGAGGATCTCACCACCCGATACGAAGCCTTGCAAACTCGCGTTGATGTGCGGCTTAGCCGGGAGTCCAGAGCTATTGGAAGCCGGATTCAAGCTGAGGAGGAGACATGTTCGTTGTCCAAAGACCATCGGAAACATGAGGGTGATAAATATGCCATTCCTTCGGCAAACCAGGCTACTGGGGGAAAGGGTGTCGGCACAAAGCCGTTATGCTTACTTCAATACTGCAAAAACTCGCTTAGAAAGGGCAAATTGCGAGTTCAGACATGAAACGCTTTCAAACAAGGGGAAGGGTGCCAAAGGCAAGACCGGAAAGGATGGGAATGATGTTTGTCTTTTTGTTTTTGTCTTTTTGTTCGTGCACCTTTTTCTGACTGGTCCGCCCGTCGGCGGAGCTAGCTGCCAGCTACAGGACGCCTACGGCGGCTCCGCCAGGAGTTCCCCCAGCGGCAGCTCTGCACCGTCGCTGGCGTCGCTGGGCCGGAACGGCAGCTCAAGCAGGCTCTGCGCGTGTGCGCGCAAGGCCGCGAGCGCTGCGAGTGGAAAATCCTCTTCTGAAAAGAGGAAATCATTTGGTAAGGGTGACGCAAGAGCGACCGCAGATGCGAAGGCGGCTCAGGAAGCAAAGGCTAAGGCAGCTCAGGAAGCGAAGGCCAAAACGAATGTAGATAAAAGAGCAGCCAAAGCAGCAGCATCAGCTGAGGCTTCTTCGGTAGTGGCAGTTGCTAGCGCGGCATCAGAGGAAGTCCCATCGTTGGTTGGTGCAATAGGGTCGACCTCATCCTGGCCAACAACTCCACGCATAATGACGGCGCAGAGTGTGGATTGTGAGAGTGATGATGTTAGCGAGTCAGAATCGCTTGAATAAAAAGTTTCTATGAGGGCTGAGGGTGATATCCCAGAGTGGTCGGAAGTAGAGCGTCACAATTTCTCCAGTGCAGGGCCTTCTTCAAATGAGGAGGAGGGTCAGGCTGGTGAAGATCAGCATCGGCGGTTGCACCTCGTCGGTGGGTGTTAAACCTGACGATTGAAGATTTCATCATGTGGACAAGACCGGCTCACATTCAGTCACATGCCACTTCTGAGTTCCAGATGGAGGCAAATCCAAATTCCATTAGGTGGCCTGTCTGGTGAACGATCGAACAGGACTATCTTGATGACGACGAGCGGGGAGTGATTCCTGTAACGGAGAGTGTGGCGATCTTGAGGTGTAATGTGAAGCCAGTCTTGTTTGAGGATGGCATCATTCGGAATGTCTTTGTGGTTTGGTTCCTTGCACAGGGAACTGGAAAACAGCGCAGAGCTGCAATGATCAGAGGACGAATTCGTCCGGTTGTCACCCCGTGGCCCAATTTACAATTGAGTACAGCAGCCCAGCAAGCAGTCATGCGGTGGGGAAGGCGCCGACAGTGAAGGCGACACCTCAGGAGTTGTATCAGGGTTTTCCGAAAATGGGTTATCCAAGAACTCCTCTGGCTAAGGCTGCTACTTACGCTTGGAGAGCAAATGAGACTCAGGCGATTGTAGTGGCAGTCCTACCTTCAGAAAGAGTAGCCTCAACTCAGAAAGCAGGAGCGAAAGCCGTAGCTAGAATAGCTAGAGCATCTCAGATTCCATTCGTTGCAGTCCGTCAAGCCAAAGCTACCGCATTTCTCAAAGCAATAGCACTGGCGAGAACCTCGAGGAGAAGGAGCAGCGGTGCCGACAGCTACACCGGCCCGCGAAAGGCAGTGCGTTGGATGCTGGTTGTGCGAATCTCCAAGTAGACGCCCGCGTGCATAAAGGCAGTGTAAGACAGTGCAAACCATAGTTCTAGTCGGGGACGCGTGGGTCCGAACATATAGTAGTCAAGTCGGTTTCAAGGCCAGAACCCGCCCCAGGCATGGCATGGTCTGCGTGCATGCTAACAACGATAATCCCCATGTAGAGGCTTTCCGGACACTTCTGACGACATACACGTTGAATCCCTTCCCGCTGTGCACCCGCTCGTGTCAATGACAGCAACATTCAAGGAATTACAATTGTGGGTGCAACCTCCCAAAGAGTTCTCGAGACGGTTGTGGTCCTGGATATCTCATGCGTTTTTTTGAATGCCAGGCTTGCTCGAAGGCCGGATGCACTGCCGGAAAGCTCGCCAGGCGAAAGCGGCGCCAGACGCGCGCTGACTTGGCAGCTGGCACCGATGTCGCGCCGCTTTGTTTATGGCAGGAAAGCCATTTCAGCTTGTTGGAGGTATAGCCACGAGAAGAAGCAACCAAGACCCTTCGCCGGCTTGCGCGTGCTTCCTGAAGTGTGGGCCGCTGTGCCGGCCGCGGGGGCACCCTGCATGCTGGAGCTGCATCCCGGCACTTGCAGCCGCCGGGCGTCATGTTGTGTGCAGCGCGCAACCCCGCGTCCTTGCAAACCCCGACCCGAGAACCTGCTGTGGTACAGGCGGCATAATGGTCACCAAGGGCGTCAAAGCGCAATGCGGCAGGAACACTCAGAGACGCCGCAACATTTGCGTGAATCTGCTGCCGAAAATTGGGAGTGACGAAGAGCATGGGATCTTGACAACGTCATTTTCTGGATGCTGGATCTTGCCTGCCTTTGCTGGATTGACTGTAAAGCTCGTGGTTGCATCTGCAGTACCTTGGCCTTGACTTGCTTGAAATTTGCACTTGTGGGGTCAAGAATAACCATGCAGCTGTTCGCAACGAATGGAAGCAAGAGATCTTTGTGGGACATGGGGCATATGAAAATGATGATGTCAGCCAGCCAAAAATCGAAATACCACACAGCAAACGAAAACACGTCCGCACAGCACGACAACATGTACGCGAGCCATTTTCGGAACGCGCCACGTCTTGTTAATTCTGATCTTGCTTTAAGTGGGTATACGGGGGCGTGCGCCAAGAGCAAACGCTCAATGTTGCATCCAAACTACTGTGAGAGACATGAACCGGTTGACCAACCTTGCTCGACACTGGTGGGTGCTACATCTCGCGGGGGAGGGGAGGCTTTCAACTAGCGAGCATGCAGCTCAGCACCGTTCAGCGTCCGAAGACACGGTGTGGACGACTCCAATGACGACTCTTGCAGCGGTGGCGCTCAGCCTTTGGCTCGATCTGGCAAATGCGGGTGGTTTCCCTTCCTGAACAGCAACACCAACAATACAGTGGGTGCAAAACTATCGGCGTTGTCCCGAGGACTGGCAAAAACACGGGTGCGATCCAGGCGGTGTGGGGGTGCGAACACACTGGACTTGAAAATTGTTCTCCGTGGAACGGGTGAACCGCCAATCACATCCAATCACTGCGGCATATGGTGGCGAGTCTGTGCACGACAATGCCATAGGCTCTGCTCCACCATGTCATTGAAGGACAACAAGTGCGCCGGGAAATGCTACTGCGCACGAAAGATATCATCATGCACTGCATCAAATTACGCTCGATGGTTACAGGTCCAACGATCGATCGTGGATGTTTTGACGAAACAATGGGGCGACACTGAATGATTTTGCCCCACAGCCTTTCGAGGGAGGGTTGTTTTGGGTGTAGCAAAATGATGCAATGAAATGCAAGAAAATTAACCGACTTCACAGTCCTCCACATGTTGCATGCGCCGATATTTTCAATCAACGCTCGTCAAGAACCACCGACACTGCAATTGCCTGCGAACAGCAACTGTTAGTACGGCCCTCCTTCGTGCATCGCCCGACACCCCTAGCAAGCTGACTCCTCGGGCAAGTGATTCCGATAGCCGTCGAAAGGCTGGGTCTTCGTGAAGCAACTGTGTACAAGCAGTTCGCCAAAACCCAAGTCGGCTTCACCTCAGGATGAGAAGGACCGACAAGGTGGCATGCGAAAAGGTTGTTTGAAATACCAGCGCGACAGTTTGGGTCCGTGATCAAGGCACACCGGAACAACAGCATCTCACCGTAGCCAAAACCAGCGATCCCAAAAGGATCGAACAAACAACAAACCCTGCATCGCACTGCGCGGTAGACATTGACTGATGCAGATGCAACCGCTGCATCAAGAATCGATCGACGGCGTTGAAAGTCCATACTTTCACTTCCCTTCATGCGTTGCGCACCTTGGCGGACGTCAAACACCGACGTCTCCGTGAACTTGCGTCGTTCCAACCTTCGCAGTTGGGCCACCACGGAAACACTCGTAATTGATATTGCTTGAGTGACGCACCGCCACAAAAATCGCGGTCCCGGAACTCTGGCGAAGACACGACGACATGACAACAAGTCTGCAGCGAAGTTGTCACATTTAACGGGTCAGCCAGCGCGAGAGCTGGCAAGTTTTCACCGGTAGTCACGCAGATTTTGCCAAGGATTCGGCACCGCAAGGCTTCCTCTGACCCCTTGCTTGGTAGCTTCACCCACATGTTTCTGGATCTTTCATGCAGATAGGCTCGCAACTCGTACTTTGCGGAGAGGAGCTAATCGGTGGAGGCCTGGTTGCGGACTAAACTTTGCTTTAGCGTATATGGGCTGTGAGGCGTCCGACGAGGTCAACGTGCGACGCAAGACCTGGTCGCGCGCAGTGCAGTCTGGGAACTCAGCACTATACCGGGCGAAGCCATGGGTCAAAGTGTAGTCTGCGCATGTCTGTCTCACAGGTCGACATCAAGCGGATAGGATACCATGACCCTGAGACGCTTCGTCGTGTGCGCAGGCTGTATGTTGGAAACGTAACGTCTATGCCTCCATGCCATATTCTGATCCGGGTCCGGGCAGCACATGCAGGTTTGTGTGTGGAGACAGTCGTTCCGGCTCATCTGCAGACTCCAGACGTTTGTTTCGATCATCCGTGATTGTATCTTGGCTGTCGCTTTGCCATGACCTTATATGATAGACGAAGGCGACTGCGTGCTGCATACCCGCACGGAATAATTCGGAAAGTTGCTTCTTGGGCGGCAGCAAGGAAGCCTTTGCAGATTGCAGCTCAACGTCCGCGTCAGAGTCATCAAGATTTGCATCGCGGTGCCCGTGGAATCGAGCAGGAGGGGCGAACTACGAAAACGGACAATGCGATGGCAGCTCTTTGCCGAGAAGGTGTAGTCGCGAAACGTACAGCGGAACGTCGTGGGGCAACATCTGCAGGACTATAACTGATGAAGATACGTATATACACCATAACAGCGCATACGTATCACGTCTATATACAATATGTTCATAATTTTCCTTTTATCAACCCGAAACCTTACAAAGTACAAACCTTAACCTATATGGGCACATGGCACCTCGACAGGGTTTCGGTAGTGCAAAGCCTCCACCCTCGACTCCAGGCCATGCCAGTAGTTTGCCTGAAGCCTTCAAACTCCTCAAGATCTGCTCTAAAACGCCACAAGCCTAGCTAAAGCCAAGAATATGGGTTGGGGCTTTAGGTCTTGGGTTAAGCCCTGCTATACAACCGAAAATCATGAGCTCAAGGTGCACAAACTTCTGTTGTGCCCCGCCCCTCCCGTGCAGCTTTTTCATATCTTTCCCCTGCGCACCTTTCGTTCTTGATGCACGCAGCATCTGGACCCGTTCGAGCGTCAGGGACATCGGGATTAGGCTCCGACCTCGCTCGTGCCTGCCAAACGCTAACTTCCTCAACCCACGTGCAGGTTCAAGGTTTCAGGCTTTTTGGGCTTCAGCGGCAGGGTGTAGTGGCTAGACGACTTAAGCATTTCCGATGCCAGGGTCTGGGTGAGACATAGAAGGGACTCGCCTCAATGAGTAAGTAGGAGTTTGGCATGTAGATACTTAGCGGCAACTACAGGTTTATACTTTGGGGGAATAAATAGTGAATCACTTCCCAAAAAGTGAGACGGTTACCTACTCTACTACGAATCTGGGTGACATGGAAGGAGCTATATCACACATTGCCAAGACGCACTACAGACATGAGGACGGGAGTGCGGTGGTGGTCCCAGGGTTTCCGGAGCTAGGAGGGCTCGGAGTCTCTGCACGGGGCTGTGATGCCTCATTCCCGATCTCTCATATACCCCAGGGCTCCTATGTGGTTCCTTTTTTGGATAGTATACTATAATTCCTTACTAAAAAACCATAACAGACCCAAAACGGAACTACATTAGAGCCCCTGGGTAAAGATACCTATGCAAACAGACACATCGCCCTGGTTCTGGCCATGCCTGTGAGCCCAATGCTGGCAGATGCCACTGACCCAGCGCACATCTGGAGATGAGATGGGGGTTTCCGAAAATAGGGGACCCTAATATAGTACCCCAAATAGTAGGATCCTTATTATAAGGACCCCCAAGTAAGGTACCCCTAATTTTCGGAAACTCCCAGATGTCGCCCGGCTAGAACGGCCAGGAGCTTATAGGGTACCAAATGGTCAACGGATCGGAAATCAAGCAAGGGCGGGTATCTTCACGTGTTGAGACTTCGCAATTATTCTGCTTGGGCTTCTCTGCCATCATTATGACTCTTAATTACCACTATTGTTTCTAGGCCTTTCCTCACGGCCTGGAATTTGCTAACGCCCTATCACCTTCGGTATCACCCTACCAGTTGGTGCTCCACAGTCCATTGCCGAGGCAACATGCAACAAACCGCTCGCAAAGCAATGTCAAACTTGCTAGCACATCAGCTGCTATGTGTGGCCCCCAGCAGCGCAACCTCGAAAAAGACGATGGGAGGGTCTTACATAAAAGCTGACGACACTGCTGTAACATGCTACACATGTGTACTTATAATTACAATGATATAAATAACTGAACACATGTACATATGAAACAAATGTCATTAGCCGAGCCAGTCTTCAGGTGTCTGGAGCCGTGGTCCTCATAAACGATGGCACAAGATGTTCAGGTACGTCTGCCGGAACGGCTCTGCATCTATCGTCCAATTCCTGTTTGTCCTGCCTGCACAGCACAGGCAAACCCTAAACCCTAAACCCCTAAACCCTAAACCCTAAAACCCTAAAACCCTAAAACCCTAAAACCCTAAACCCTAAACCCCTAAACCCTAAACCCTTATCAGCTATGGAACCTGTGCTGTGCAGCACGGAATTTCGAATTCGTTGCTCATCTTCCGACGCCCGTTCAGGAAGAGTTGCCTTGGCCGTGCTTGGTGCAGTTCATTACTCGAATATGGGTAGTTCTCTCAATGAGGGTCCCTTTTTGGGTCCCCATTATAATACGGCACCCTTATAAAAAGGACCCCAAAGGGACCCTAATTTAGAGAACTACCCATATAAATTCCTTCAAAGGCTCCTCAACAGGGGTTTATAAGGGTTACTGTACGGGTGCAATGTAATGGAAGGAGTCTTCTTGTGGAATGCCTTAAGGCAGTCCCACTACCCCTGTCAGCTAAGCAGCCCGTTGCCTTGGAACCTTAATGCCCAAATTGCAACAACAAATGGAAACCCTCATCGACGGTTTAGGGCTTTCTTGGCTTTGTTAGAGTTTGGTTTATTTTTGGATTGGGGTGACAGAGTTTTGGGCTTCGGGTTTAGGGTAGACCCACTGAAGCGCTGTTGCCAGTGGCGTAGGGACTGCTGCCAGCACCTCTACAAGTACAGGGCAAGATCACCCTAAAAAGGCCCATTTACCTATATGGGACGGGTACTAATTACCCGCAACCCCCCTTAACACCTAAATAAGGGTTGAGAGCAACCAGAATAGCTGTGACGCGATCATCAATAACAGATCATGAACAATGACATCACGCATATTATTGTTGGCACCGGTCCCACATCTCCCGCTGCACAAGAACATCCCGAAGCCCCAATTTCATCAATCCTTCAAGCTAGGCCTCCGGCTTCGCTGTTGCATGGATTCGTACAGCTTGCTCAAAGCCTCAGCGACTTTTGTCGAGTCTTGAAACAAAAAACATCATGGGGCCTCCAAGATGAGACCAAACCCTATAGGTTGTAGGCCTCATACCAGGCTAAGAGTGGGGGAATTTGAGTCTAGGACCCTTGGGTTTGGGGTGTAGGGTACAGGAGCCTAGGGTGGCTTTAAGGCTTGCCACTTGGGGTCTGTCATGCTGTATCGAAGCTTGAGCTTCTCTTTGCGGCTCAATGTTGAGGGTTTAGGGTTTAGGGCTTCGGTGCTACACCCTAAACCCGAAACCCCTAAACCCCTAAACCCTGAACCCTAAACCCCTAAACGCTGAACC